TTTTTTTAATGCTTCTACAAACATAGGAGCAAACATCTCCCCCCACCTCCCTCCCTTTGTTTTATGCTAAAGAAATTATAAAGAAAACAAACCATCTCAGCAACTTGCTTTCCCCCCAAGCCCCCCGCTTTAATTGGGGACATCTACCCCATCATTGTGTCTAGCTTTACCTCATTCCTGTCGTTGCTTTCTATTATATGGAAATCTCATAATTTCATTCTCCCCTCTGCTGACAAATGCGTGAGGCTGTTGCTGTGATCGATCGTTGTGTGCTGCGCACCTTGCATGTGTATACAGGTCCATATCTGCTAGAATGGGTGGAGCCAGTGGGTGTGCACACCTAAACTTACTCTCCAAAGACAGTTACTGAGCTGTACTCTGATTTAGATTTTCTCCTCTTTGACTGTTTTTAAAGTTTCACTTTCAAAACAGTTTCTGTTAAAACGAAGGAAACACATTGAAGCGTTTTCTTCACAGATTTTGTCGTGGATTTAAAATTCCTTCCAGGTAATCTTTTTTTTTTTTTTTTTAATTCCAATTGTGTGTGTTTCCTTATTATATTCACAAAGTTCTGGTTCCTTCCTGCCTACACCCACTTCACAGTTCTGCTTCGTGGGGTGTGCTGCTGGAGTCGGGGTGCATTGCAGGCTCACAGCCCCGTCTACCACCTGGAGTGTGGGACCCGGGGCCCCTCCCACCCAGGTTCATCCAGTGAGAGCATCACTTGGGTGGTGAGCACATGACCTTAGCAGGCCCACCTCCTCTTCCCCAGCATCCTGACAGCTGCCCAGAGCGCACCTGTTTTGTCCATTCATGAAAGAGCTTGGTACTCCCACGGCTTAGTCCTGGGGAGAAGGAAGGAGAGCGAGACTTGGTCATCTTCTGCACTGCCTTGGCTACCATTTTGGAGATTGTCCGTTGTTCTTACGGGAACGAGAGGAAAATACTGCTGCTGGGAGCATCAGTGATCTTTTTTTTTTTTAGCGTTTGTTTAGTTGTAATATGGTAATACTTTACGGGAATGAACTCTGGCTGACCTTCTCAGGGGTCATAAGCTTGAAAACATTGAGGGTTTTGATTTGCTCAAAGGAGGCGTTTACCCTTTTTGGAGCACAACGCCAGTGGGGAATAGGTTCTCTGGCGCTTACTGTGTTTAAATGCAAGGAGCCTGCCTCTCAAGCCTGGCTCCATCTCAAAAGACATAACTTTTGAGGGAATGACTGAGGATGTATTTATTGATTATTGATAAAGAAATACATCCATAATATCTGAAACAATCATGTTATAAAAAGCATGTATCCTCCTTTTTTAAAAAAATGAATGCCCACATGCATATATAGACAGAAAGGAGTTAAATGTTAAGGAGCGTGGGATGGGTTTCTTATGATTTGGGGTAACCTTAATGTACTGATGGCACCTGAATCCTTAGCAACAGTCTGAATTATTTAGATGGTTTGGGATGGGAAGGAAAGGTAATGACCCATCCTCAAGAACACAGGAGGTCTTGTAAAAAGCAGCTCTAAGTGGAGCACAGAGCGTGGAAATGTCTGAGTGTGGTGAGGAACGGAGCCCCATTTCTGTGTGGGGCGATGTGTATCATGGACTCGGACTGCTCCCTGAGACATTTCCAGGAGTCACAGCGTGGGTGCGCTTGCTGGATCCAGGCTATGAATATACTACAACAGGCTCTAAACTCAGTTTTAACAATGTCACCGTCATAAATTGCCTGACACCAAAGTCAGTACATCAGGTGCCTTCCTGAAGTAGAGACAGGTGCCTGTGACCGCTGGGAATGACTGATCTAACATTTAACGGATAAAGTCGGGGGGCGGGTGATCTCAGTTTTTAAGACTCACTTTATTTACATCGTCTAATATAATCCATCATCTACATATAACATTTCTTTTTTAAAATCATTTTTTTTATTTTCAATTACAATTGATATCTATGTTATTATTTTGGTTTCAGGTGTATCCCTCCCCACATGATTAGACATTATGAAACTTACTAAGTGATCATCCTGATAAATCTCGCACCCACCTGGCACCATAATTAGTTGTTAGAATACTAGAGGCCTGGTGCACAAAAGTCGTGCACTCAGGCGGGCAAGGGGGGTGTCCCTCAGCCTGGCTTGCGCCCTCTGGCAGTCCGGGACCTCTTGCTCCTTACTGCCCGTCTGCTCACTGCTCCTTGCAGGTGGGCTCACTGTTCCTCAGTGCTGCAGCAGAGGTGGGAGAGGCTCCTGCCACCACTGCTGTGCTCGCCAGCTATGGGCCCAGCTTCTGGCTGAGCAGTGCTCCCCCTGTGGGAGCACACTGATCACCAGGGGCAGCTCCTGCGTTGAGCATCTGCCCCTGGTGGTCAGTGCTTGTCATAGTGACCGGTCATTTCACCATTTGGTCAATTTGCATATTAGCCTTTTATTTCATAGGATTACTGACTATAGTATATTCCCTGTGCTATATTTCACATTCCCATGTCTATTCTGTTACAACCAATTTGTACTTCTTAATCCCGTCACGCTTTTCAACCATTCACCCAATGTACATATAACATTTCTAAACGTGGATGAAGGTTTGAGCCTGTGTCGTATAAGATCCTTCACGTTAAAACATACTAAATTTGACTCCCGCTAAAGGTAGTTTGGATTTGATCATTCACAAAGCATTATGAGAAATCTTTCAAGAATTATAGAAGCTCTGTAGAACTCTAAACTCTATACAACTTCAGTGTTCTGGTTCCTAAACCAGGCGCTCAGTTGACCAACATTTACTGCATTGGAATGAATGTGTTAGAACGGCTTTCTCAGGTTCCCTGTTGAGTTTGCCATGCTGTGGCGTACATGTCAGCATTTTTTAGGCCCAGGATTCGTGGGGTTACCGTGTAGCCTAAGATAATATGTTCCTTGCTTTGTTTTTAGCCAAGGATATAAGCTTTAAAACATTGAGGGTTTTGATTTGCTCAGAGGAGGCGTTTACCCTTTTTGGAGCTCAAAGCCAGTGGGGCGGCTCTTCTTCATGTTGTTGACCAAATGTAAGTCGCACCTGTGCACATCACTGGTGGGATTGAGCTAAAATACTCGTCATCATGGACCTTTTTGCTGATGGGCGTTGTGGAGACCTCCCTCCCCCACCGTGGCCTTTGTCATTGGGTTTCATTTAAAAGTCCCACCTTTCATATTTTGGTACGAGAAGAACTTAAGTGGAAGTGGAACCTGAGTAGGCTAATTAGTGGACTAATAGTGGACTAATTAGTGGACTAATAGTGGGCTAATTAGTGGACTAATAGTGGGCTCAGCATGGCCTGCAGAAGCCAGCCGCTGCGTGGGCCGTGCGCACAGGGAAGTCAGCGGCACAGGTTCAGGAGGCGGCCCAGGCGTGGAAGGGCAGCTTCTCCGGGAGCAGGGAACAGCCAGGCGAAGTGAATGCAGCACAATTCAAGCCTTCCAGATGGACTGTCTTGAGCCTGCTGTCCCTTTAAGGCTGTGGTGGGAGTCACTGGTTTGGCCAGCCTGCTCCCTGGCCTGTCAGCAGTGTGGAGTGATGCTGAATGGGGTGCTAAGCTTTGGGATTTCTTTGGGGTCCAGGTCTGCGTGCTGCGGAGTGCCCTTGGAGGCGTTTTATCACTGTGTGTGGTAACAGGGCCTGCAACGGGGCATCGTGTTGTAGGGAAACCCTGGACCTGGTCAGGGGTGAGGCCTGGCCTCCAGGCCATGGCCGCCTCCGTTCCTGAGCTTGTCCTCACCTGTGAGATGGAAACCCTGGCACCTGCTACGCTGGCTTTAAGACAAATGGGAAAAGCACATGAACTATAAAGCATTGTTGAAATCTTGAGGTTCCTATGGGTTATTGCGCTATTTTTGTTATTTATTTATTTTTAAAATATATTTTTATTGCTTTCAGAGAGGAAGGGAGAGGGGGAGAGAGATAGAAACTTCAATGATGAGAATCACTGATTGGCTGCCTCCTGCACACCCCCTATGAGGGATTGAGCCCACAACCAGAATCGAACCGGGACCCTTCAGTCTGCAGGCCAACACTGTAGCCACTGAGCCAAATTGGCTATGATTTACTGTGCTATTTTTATTTGGCTTCACATTTTTTTACCTATAGTCTCAGGATTTAAAAAAAAAAAAAATGGCCTGAGGGCATGTCTGTATGTCTATTGTTTTTGCAATTGATGACCTCAATTGCACAAGCTATTCAATAGGGAAGATTGCAAATGATCGTTTCAGTAATATTTTTATGGAAAAAAAACAAAAACAATTACTCATAAAAATGGGTTACATACCTCTTTTTTGTTCACTTGCATAAACTGGCCTTGGAACCATGGAGTCTTTCAACTTGCCCACTTCTCTGCTCCCACTCCCGCCTCTCAGCCTCCCCTTGCCCGAGAGCTTGGACCTCAGTTTTACTCTGCTTCCTCTGAGAGGCCCTCCGACACCCCAGCCTCGGACAGGGCCCTCAGTTACTGTCCTTCGTTCTATGGCTTCCTCCTCTATGACAGGTTCCAGAGCTGCGAGTTAGTCATTATTTTTTTTAACTGTCTGCCCTCTCCCTTGAGAAGGACACATTGTCACCTATGCTTGTTCTAGTCAAATATGCATAACTTCCAATCACAAGGAAACATTAAAGTAAAAGACTTTTTTTTTTTTTTTAATCTGCCTTCCATGGTAGTTTATAAGCTCAAAATGGTGGGGACCACACCTGACATATTTATTGTTTGTTATATCTCAAATAAGCCTGGAATGGTGGGTGTGTAAATCATAGAAGGGTTCATATGAATGAATGAGTGAATGAATGAATGAATGAATGGTGTGTACACTTATCTGCTTTTGTAGGGTAGCTGGATCATTCAGATGAATAAAAAGGGCTTAAATCTTCACTGTTGCCCACCCTCCTCTTTCTCTGTATTTCTCCTCAAAATGATTTCTCTTTCTTGAAGTTCCCGGATTTCTAACTTGGCTGTGAAGACTGAAATTACGTTTTGTCTTCCCGTAGCTCCTCCAGAAGAATGGTCAGCTGTCCACCCTCAACGGCTTAGCTGAACAAGAAGAGCTCACCGCCCAGGAGGGGGCCCTGAATGGCCAGGAGGCGGAAGTCATTGTCCCAGAGAGTAAGTCACCCTTCCAGGCTCGGAGCAGAACCACCAGGGCGGGAGGGCAAACCACACCTGCCGTGAGCCCAGGAGAGGAATAAACACGGGTCTGGGCGGGATGGGTAGATACTGTAATCCTCTCCGGTATCGGTGGTGTTGACAAGATATGCAGTGGGTTGGTTACCAAAGGAAATGTTGATCTGACCTTTAGGGTAGGCCCTACACCCAGGTGAGGAAGTTATAGACCAGTTCCTGGGCACAGGAAGTGAAGTCACGTTTCCTCCTTCTCAGATTCCTCACCTGGAACATCGCGTTTTTTGTTTTGTGTTCTCACTGCTGCCTCGTCCTGATTACTAGTCTGGTGTCTAATGCGAACCTGTTGCTTTAAGAGCCAGTAGCTCTAACTCTGCAGAGAGCCCGCTGCAGGGGCACAGGGGTGTCGTCGTGTGCGTTTCCCACTGGGCGCCTCTCTTTGCCTACACCGTGAGATGTCGCATGCATGCAGCCCCTGGGCCTTGAGATCCTGGAGGGGTGGTTCTGGCAATAACATATTTGGTTGTTAAAGGACCTAGAGAACTCATTGCTGTATACCAGCAAGCAAGCGGTTGTCTCGGGTTTTAATACGTTTGAATTTATTGTTGACAAGGCATTATTTATTTATTTATTTATTTATTTCCTTTCTGCAGAGTAGACACAGCCAACATCATAAAGCATGTGAGAGCCATGTTTCCTCTCCACCTTTCCCAGGTCACATGTGTTTGTGTGAGCAAACAGTGGTGGTCTTCCTTTGGCTTTGACACTTTTGCTCACACGTGCTTTGCTCACACTGTTCGCACAGCCAGAGGGAGGACATTGGCGCCAGCAGTTGGATGTTGGGTGCTAGCATTGGCCCCTGGGGGCCGCTGCTTTCAGAGTATCTGCCCGCTAACCAGAGAACAGGCTGAGCTGCCCTCTTCAGAGAATGGTGACCAGGTTGCTCAGGTAATGGGCAAGGGGACCACTATTGTATAGCTGCTCTGACCCCAGGGGCAATACTCACCCCAAGAAAAATAAAGACCAGCCTGGCCAGTGTGGCTCAATGGTTGAGTATGAATAAAGAGGTCACAGTTCGATTCCTGGTCAGAGCACATGCCTGGTTGTGGGCTTGATCCCTAATAGGAGGTGTGCCGGAGGCAGCTGATCAGTGATCCTCTCTCATCACTGATGTGTCTATCTCTCCCTCTCCCTTCCTCTCTGAAATAAATAAAAACATAATTAAAAAAAAAAGAAAAATAGCCAAAACCGGTTTGGCTCAGTGGATAGAGCATCGGTCTGCAGACTGAAGGGTCCCGGGTTCGATTCCGGTCAAGGGCATGTACATTGGTTGTGGGCACATACCTGATAAGGAGTGTGCAGGAGGCAGCTGGTCGGTGTTTCTCTTTCATTGATGTTTTTAGCTCTCTATCCCTCTCCCTTCCTCTCTGTAAAAAGTCAATAAAATATATATTTAAAAAGAAAAAGAAAGACCAAAAAGACCCCAAAATGTTGTTGCTTAACGCAGAAGCTTTCCTGAGGGTGGGCTTCTTACCTGTCACAGGATCCTACTTCTCTGTGCCTGAATATTTCCCACAGACACAGGCACGAAGGAGCTACTGTTCAGCTACCTAGAAGCTTACCTTGAAAGCTGGAGAATTACATTTCTCATGTGGTGCTTCTCAGCACCGCCTTGGCTTTGATGTATTTGCTGTTGGAACCTGCCGGCTCCGGAGCCGTGCCTGTGGGATAGGACAGGCCACAGGGTCACTGCCACGCGATCAGCCCTCCCCTCGGATCTTGTTACCTCACAGAAAATCCGCTCTGGAATGACAAGCAGTTTTCCTTTGCTTTTGATCATTTAGGAACGTTCTGGGTAGTGAGTACCCCGAGGGCTGCTCCAGGTCTCTGTTCGAAGATGGCCCGCCTCCCCCCAAATACTTCTTTTTCTCTCTGAGAAGCTGTTTCTCTACTGGGAAGAAATGTTTTTCTGATTCAAACCCTTTTCTGTTTCCATCAGTGACATTATTGGCACCGTGGTGGTGTTTTCATGCAGACAGGCCTGTTGCCCACATTCCTCGTCATTTCTCTCCGCATCACTTGTCAACATCTGGCAGTCTGCACGCCTGTGTCTTACCCCCACCTCCGCTGGGACTGAATCCCCTGAGCCTAGAACAGTGTCTGACACATAGTAGGTGCTTCAGCAAATATTGGAGTGCATGAAGACACCGTTTGAAGTTAGCATTAACAATATTATATAGTTACTTCTATGGGAGTGGAGGGCCTGTTTTTTGCTTTATATCCATTTATTTATTTATTTTAAATATATTTTATTGATTTTTTACAGAGAGGAAGGGATAGGGATAGAGCGCTAGAAACATCGATGAGAAAGAATCATCCATCAGCTGCCTCTTACACACACCCTACCGGGGATGTGTCCGCAACCAAAGTACATGCCCTTGACGGGAATCGAACCTGGGACCTTTCAGTCCGAAGACCGACGCTCTATCCACTGAGCCAAACCGGTTTCGGCTACATCCATTTATTTCCTGCGTGGTTTAACACGCAGCTCTATAAAGTCATCCCTGGCTTCTCGGTGGCATCAGCTCTGACACAGCTGGATGCTTTTCGGTCCCCGCGCTGGGCTCTCTCAGGTGCTTGCTAGGGGTTGCCCAGGTGTTGCTGGGAACGTGAAATCGGACCCTGACCTGCTCGTGATGAAATGAGGACTCTTAGTCTCCACATGCTACTGAACGTAAGCGCTCCGCAGACAGAGAGAGGGGTTTTTGTTTTCCCCACTCTGGTATTTTGAGTACAATATTATTGCATTGTGTCTCAAGCTGTATCCTGTTTTGTAACGTTTTGAAAACGAGGGCGAACCCTCATCACAGAGGCCTTGAACTTGACAAAAGCACGAAAGCCGTGCAGTTTCTGGGATTGGTTTTAATCCAGTCCCCGCTCTGTAGCGGTGTTCTTAGCACGCCTCTCTGAAATTACTTAGGTCATTGTGACAAATTTGGGGTGTAATAGTCTAGTGCTTTTATCTTTAAAGAAACACAGATTTTGTTTGTTTGTTTTGTTATTAACAGCCAAGCTGTATGGAGAACACTTTTTCCCTCTGAACTGCATCCAAGTCTGACAGTGTAATGAGCCTTAATTTTTCCTTCTAGCTTAAAAAAATGGGGGAGAGGGCAGGTAGAAGGAGTGAGATATTTTTTTAAAAATATATTTTATTGATTTTTTTTTTTTTTTTTACAGAGAGGAAAGGAGAGAGAGAGAGTGTTAGAAACACTGATGAGAGAGAGTCATCGATCAGCTGCCTCCTGCACACTCCCTACTGGGGATGTGCCCGCAACCAAGGTACATGCCCTAGACTAGAATCAAACCTGGGACCCTTGAGTCTGCAGGCCGACGCCCTATCCACTGAGCCAAACTGGTTAGGGCTACCAGAGGAGTCTTATTCCTGAGGAGCATACTTAGAATTTTCCCCAACTACTTGTGTAGCGAAAGTGCCAGTACCCTGCCCGTGTCCACCCGTACCTCCAGTGCTACCAGCATATGCGTTACTTCCTTTGGTGAGAAGTGGGGTGTGCTGGATTTCCTTAGTGGACGAACTGGTTGCTTGAATGTGTCTTTCTGTGGGCTCGCAGTATGTAGGCCGACATCACACACAAGGCAGCTATCCTGCTGTGATCCTTTGCTGGGGCCGCCATGATGAAATGGCACAGAATGGGTAGTGTAAACTACAGAAATTTATTTATGTATCTATTATTTATTCTTTAAAAGATTTTTTTTTAAATATCTTTATTGATTTTTAGAAAGAGGAAGGGAGGAGAGGAGGGGGACAGAAACAGTGATGTGAGAGGGAAATGTGAGAGGGAAACATGGATTGGCTGCCTCCGGCACACACCCTACCAGAGACTAAGCCCGAAACCTGGCATGAGCCCTGACCGGGAATTGAACCAGCGACCTCGCTGTGCACTGGATAACGCCCAACCAAATGAGCCGTACGGACCGGGGCCAGAAATTTATTTTCTCCAGTCTGGAGGCTTCGAAGTCCACGATCAAGGTGTCATCACGTTTAGTTTCTGGGAGGTGTCTCTTTTTGGAGGGGACACAGTGCAGCCCAGAACACCTGCCTTCCGGAGGGACCCGTGAAACGTGAGGTTTGGGGCCAGAAAGCCTTAGTGGAAGGGGACGTGCGGCTATCTATCCAGGCTCCTGCCCCAGGTCGTTCCGCTTACACACTGGAAGGTCGGGGGCATTTCTCTATTAAAAAAAGCCAGTAAATATATTAGAAGAAGAAGAAGAAGGAGGAGGAGGAGGAGGAGGAGGAGGAGGAGGAGGAGGAGGAGGAGGAGGAGGAAGGAGGAGGAGGAGGAAGAAAGAAGAAGAAGAAAAAGAAGAAGAAGCAGCATTTCTCTATTAAAAAAAGCCAGTAAATATATTAAAAGAAGAAGAAGAAGAAGAAGAAGAAGAAGCAGCAGCAGCAGCAGCAGCCAGTGCTCCACTGCCCTGCTCTGCTCCCAGCACTGCCCCTGGAATGGCCTGGAACAGATCCCCTTCCTTCCCCGCACAGCAGCCCTCTAAATATTGGAACACATTTATCTTGTCTTCCCTTTCATCTCTTCTCCCCTAGGCAAAACATCTCCAGAGAAAACAAGCTGTCCCACATTAAAAGATCAGTGCCAGGCCTTATATATATATTTCAAATACGAGTGTGTGTGATGGAAGCTTGCCAAGCATAGCTGGGTTTCATTGTCAACATTCCTGCTGCTTAAGAACGGTCTCTCAAACTCTGTAAGCAGCGAGAACAACTTGGTTTTCTTCACACCAAGTGTTATGATGTGCCGAAGGAATTGGCCAGAGGAGGGGCGTACGTGGATGGAGAACATATAAAAGAGGTCTCTTGCCGCCATAACCGGTTTGGCTCGGAGGATAGAGCATTGGCCTGCGGACTCAAGGGTCCCAGGTTCGATTCCGGTCAAGGGCATGTACCTTGGCTG